GAATTTTGGCATCTATATTCATAAGGAAAATTGGTCCAAAATTCTCTTTCTCTGTTGGTTCTTTATGTGGTTTGGGTATCAGGATAACAATGGCTTCATAAAATAAACTGGGCATGTTCCTTCTGCTTCAATTTTGTGGAATAATTTGAGGAGTATTAGCATTAACTCTTTTTTGAAAGTCTGGTAGAATTCATTACTACAACCATTTGGCCCTGGCTTTTTGGGGGGGCACTTATAATTACTGCTTTTATTTTATTAGAGGTCATAGGTCTGTTTATATTACTGTCTCATATTGGCTTAACTTTGGTGATATGTATCGAAAAAACTATCCATTTCTTTTGTATTTTCCAATTCAGTAGAATAAAGTGTGTGTGTGTGTGTGTGTGTGTGTGTGTGTGTGTGTGTGTGTGTCTGCTTTGAGAGGAAGTCCATTTACTGTTTGATTTACTGAAACTTAAAATATTCCCTCAAATTACCCAGGAGAATTCAGGTAGCAGAAATATATAGCATGTACATTTCTTCATAAGGTCTCCAGTCAGTTTTCTGAGGCTATAAAATGATGTGCACATATATGTGTACTACACCATTTAAACCACCCCCACTGTTGGTACTTAAGAACTCAAGTATAGAAATAAGCTTTGTGGTACTGAAGTAACATTAGGACCTCCACTCAACATGATTGCATAGATGTTTAAGGTTAAACGTGAACATGATGTGAGGTTTCAAGTCAATCAATCCCATTTGAATTGTGGGTTCAAAGCAGCACATAGACACATGCCTATAAGAATACCTTCACTGAGTGCATAACTCACTGTGTGTGCATGTGTAAGGAGACAGGTGGAAGTCATGGCAGGGCTGACTGAGCCACACTGGTAACTATTAGCCATATGCAGCTGTTGGCAAGACAGGCATACACAGTCTTCATAGTCAGTGTCTTCCCTGGGATATCTTCTGCACTGGAATCTCATCTGTGAACAGCTGTATCTTCCTGCTCCACAGTGCAGACACCTTGGCTGCTCTACACACCTTGATGGGTGACTCTGTCCTGCATTTAGGACCTGCAGGCTGGTATATTGACACAGAAGAGGGCTGGAGCTGTTGGCTGGTGAGGGAGGAGCTCCTGCACTCACACAAAGTGTTTTTCCAGACACTCAGCGAGTCACTTTGCTTTTGTATTTCTGTTGCAACATGGTGTAAAGGTTTTTAAAGTATGTCCTCATAATTCTTTGCATTTCTTTGATATCTGTTGTTATATCTCCCTTTTCAGACCCTGGTGTTCTTCACACACATGCACACACACACACACACACACACACACACACACACACACACACACACACACAATCCTGCCCTTCTAGTCTATTTTTCTTCTCATTTTTATCTTCTAATTTTTGAAAAACAAAAACAAAAACCAAAACCATCAATTGTTCTGGATGTTTTTCTCTTCTTTCGTAAGTAAACAGGTTTGGGTTGGGATGATGCTTTCTAGTCTTCTTATCTGTGTCATTGACTCTGCCCTTGTGTCTTTAGGCTGTTCCCCCCACTTAGGTTTCCTTCCATTAAATGAACTCTTCAAAGCTTTCTCCTTTCATCCTTGTGTTTAAAAAGCTGCGACTACTCTTCGGGTCAGGCTTTTGGTACAGTTGCCAAGAATTCGTTGCTCACCTCAAGGTCAGAAGATATTTTCCAGTGTTTCCTTCTAGAGTCTTCATGGATTAATCTCTTCCATTTAGCTCTATGAACTATTTGCATTAACTATGGGGTGTGGTGTGTGGTGAGGGTCTAAGATCTTTCTTGCCACTGTTTTGCATATTTGTATCTGATTACCTCAGCCCCGATTGTTGAGAGGACTCTTTTCCATCTCTATTAATTATCTTGGCACCTTTGTCAAAATTAAGCTGATTGTTACATAAGAGTTTATTTCTGGACCCTTAATTCTATTCCACTGATTTATATGCCTATCCTGTGCCAATGCCACTCTCTTGATTAATGCAGTTTTATAGTGAACACTGAAATCAGAAAGTATAAGTCCTCTGACTTTATTCTGGGTCAAAATTGCTTTTTGTTACTCTTTTGTATTTTTATAAGAACTTGAGTACTAGTTTGCAGACCCCGCCCCCCCCACAAATTTATTCTGGCATTTCAGTATGGTTTAGGGTTAATTTACTTATTAGTATAAGGACAATACCATCCTGACAATATTAGATATTTCAATCTTTGAACATGAAGTGCCTTCATTTATTTTTGCTATTTTAATTTCTGTCGGGAATTTTAAAATAGCTTCAGAATAATTTTTTTTTTATTTTGCTAACTTTATTTCATTTTTGGGTGCTTTGTGAATGGAATTTTTTTTCAAATTTCATTTTCAAATTGTTTGTTACTAAAACATATAATTTGTGTGCTGATTGTGTGCTCCATGACTCTTATAGACTTACTCACACAGGACACCTGATATCATAACAGTTTACGTTGTTTCCGAGCTGGATGATTCTTCTGTCTAGTCCCTTTTGTTTTTCACTCTCCTTTTCTTCCCTTTTCTGCTTCTCCTCATCCTTAGTTTTGTGCGTCTCCTGTTGCATTGGCTAGGGCCATTCACCTCAATATTGAACAGACATTTCTGGTCTTCCCACAGGGAGGGAAAGAAACATTTGCTGTTTTGTTATTATGGTACTGGATTTTTATAGATGTCCTTTGTCAGGTTGAGGGCATTCCCTTCTGTTTCTTTTTGTTGTTGTTTTGAGATGTAGTGTTGCCATGTAACCCAGACTTGCCTAGAACTTGCTTTGTAGACTAGGATACTGATCATTCCACCTCTGTCTTCCAAATGCTGGGATTACAGATGTGTCACACCATGTCTGGTTTTCTATTTCTAATCCTATTTCCTATTTGATAATTTTTTTTGTTAAAAATCATGAATAAAGCTGGGTGGTGGTGGCACATGCCTTTAATCCCAACACTGGGGAGGCAGAGGCAGGTGGATCTCTGTGAGTTTGAGGCCATCCTGGGCTACAGATCAAGCTCCAGGACAGGCTCCAAAGCTACACAGAGAAACCCTGTCTCGAAACCCCCACCCGCTCCAAAAAACAAAACAAACAAACAAACAAACAAAAAACATAAATGAATTTGGGATTCTGTCAAATGCTATTTTTGTATCTCTCAAGGTAATTTTTCTTTGGAATATTATTATATCCATGTAATCTATTAAAGTATTTGATTTTTTTGGATGTTAAACCAACCTTGCATTTGGGGGAAAGTAGAACTTGATCAAATTTTATAATCATTTAAAATTATTTCTGAATTTTGGTTGCCAGCACTTTGCTCCAGGGGTGTCACATTTTCTAGGGCTTCAGCAATGGAGTTGTAGGTGCCAGGTACCAGAGGAGCATGAAGGTCGGGAGTCTAAAATCACCGTGTCAGCAAGGCTGTGCTCCCATTGACAGCTCTCAGAATGGCTCCTCCCACCTTTTCTGGTGGTTCCCAGCAGCCTGTGGCCTCTCTGTGGATCTGTCACTCCAGCCTCTGCCTGTGTTTTCATATATGTTCTCTCTGTTTGGGTCCAGATTAACACCCTTCTTATAAGAACATCATTTGTTCTGTGTTTGTTTGTTTTTGTTTTGTTTTATCACAGTCGGCAAGAAAACAAAGTGTGATCTCCCTATCTGAGTTTCTCCCAGCTGCTGTGACAAAGAGCTCCCTGGCTGAGGAGGTTAGAATAACAGAAATTTGTTCTGTCACAGTTCTGGAGATCAGAAATCCAAGGTCCTGGTGTGCAAAAGATGGACTCCCTGGGAGGCTGTTAAGAAGACATGGCTCCAGGCCTCCTTTCAGCTCCGGATGGTTGCTAACAATTGGTTGTTTCCCTGGGGTGTAGAAACATACTTCGTTCTCTGCCGTCATCTTCAGTTGGTAATCTCTGTGTCTGCATCCAATGTTTCCCTTTTCTTAAAGACATGGCCATGTTGAGTTAGAGTCCACCCTATTCTAATGTGGTTTCACTCTAACCTGATGGCTTATGAAGACTCCATTTCTTTTTCTCCCCTCCCTTCCCTCTTCCCCTCCTCCTTTCCTTCCTTCCTTACCTCCTTTCCTTTTTGGTGTTAAGGACTGGATTTAGGGTCTGAGCATGCTAAAGAAGCACTCTATCAATGAGCTATATTCCTAGTGCCAAAGACCCTATTTTTTTTTTCCCAAGCCAAACTGTATCCAGCTTATTAAAGATACTTTCCATAAACAATCATGGTTTCTCAGGCAGGACATGGGCAGACAGTCATTAACCATATACAAGAACTTCCAAACTCCCTTCTTGTATAGACTGCCAAAATCAGAAAGCCACTATAAAACCCGATGAGTCTTCATTCGATGCTTTGAAAAGGGGGAGAGCTTAGAGTGAGGGCTGACAGTTCACATTGAGGATGTTGTTTAACAACTTTTCACAAGCCGACCCTGACTTTCAGGAAATGAAATGAACACGGCAGGATCATCATGAAGATCCACCATCTTTTATAAAAGGAACCGCTGCTCTTTTGGGGACACAACAATTCCACTGCAAAGTCCAGATTGCCTGATAGATAGACCGGCAAAACCAGTTTTGGGGGTCAGGTTCCAACAGGTCTCTGGTTTTAAAGGAGTTATGTCTATGTTGTTGGTGCAGGGGAGGAGGGTATGAAAACGAATTTAGAGTTTCTCCACACACAATGCATTTTGTGCCATGGTGGTCACGTATGTCAAAAGCAGGACATCTCTCCTGAGAGCTAAGAGGAGTCTTTCAAAATTATCATGGAAAGATGTTTTCCCACATCAGCCACCATCAGTCCAGCTTGGGAGACATTTCGTTAGTGACACAGGTTCCTTCCCCCAAAAAACATTGAAGTGTTCTGTGTCCTAACAACATAGCTTAAAAAAAAAAAAAAAGTAAAACAAAATTCTGCATTTCTGTAAAACTTGGTAAAAAATAGTATTTCAAACTGTGCAGTCACCAGAAGTACACAAAAATGCACGTTTCACTTGGCATCTCCAGCACTGTCAGCCTTCTGTGCCTGGTCTGTTTTGGCGTCTCCATTTTCTGCAGGATTATTCGCATCCTTCCAGGCATCGGCCTTCCCCTTCTTCCCTTTGGGGACCTTCTCCCCCTTCCTTGCAGGGGCTTTTTTAGGCTTGGGTTCTGGCTTTGGAAGAGCAGGTTTAGCAGAAAACCTTGCAGATCTTCTCTGTGTCTCATCCTTCACCTTGGCCTTATCTCCTTTAGTATCCTGTTCAGCCTTTCTTTTGGGCATGGCGGCAGGGGACGTGGGCACTGAACACGGGGATGCAGCAGTATGGTGCACAGGTTTGGTCCGTCCAGGGGTCGTTCTCACTGCTTCTTCCCAAAGACGCTATTTCTAAAGAAGGTTTTTGGAGTTAAGAATTGAACATATTTTGTTGATTGTATTAGTTAGCTTTGCTTTGTTGTGGCAACAATACTTGCAAGGAGCAGCTTCAGGCTTACAGTTGTGGTCTGTCATGGCGGAAAGGCACAGCTGAGCAGCTGAGTTCACTGGCATGATGCAGTGGGGGAGGTTGACCAGAAAGCAGAGAATAAATCTGGAACTAGAGGCCAGGTAGAACTTGCGAAGTTCCCCCCCTAGTGTTCTACTTTGTCAGTCAAGTCCTGCATCCTAAAGGTTCCACAGTCTCCTGAAATATCATCCCTAGCAAGAGAAGTAGTGTTCAGAACATGAGCCCTTAGCAACCCTTCAGATTACAACCTTAACAGGGGTGGATGTAATTCAATCCAAAAGTCCTAGTGTTACTGGTTTTCAATTGTGTGGTGATGAGAGAAGCCGGTTGGTGTCCTGTCCAGTTGCCTTCCTACCCACCTGTGTAGTTTCATCTACTTCCTGTACTGCAGACTTCCATGTCTTTGAGAGTTTCAATAAAACGTATCTAACTAAACTAAAAACAAAACTAAACTTTGTCTAATTATTAAGTAATTTATGTCTTAAAGACTAGTTACAGTATATAGTATACATCAATTTCTGCTTTACAAAGATAGCTCATAAGAGTTTGTGCCTTCAAATGGGACAGTGGGGTACACTATGGATAAACTCTTGCAAAAATTATTCAGGCCTACACATTTTAATGGTGCCACCCACCTAGAACTATGAGTATGTTAGAGACAGAAGGTAACAGACATGGAATGTGCCACCCACCACCAACACCTGACTGTGGGGTCACCAATATTCTTTTGCTGGAAAGAGCCTTTGCCAGAACCACTTCATAACACAGAAGAAGACCTTCATATCTCCAGCCAAGGGCTCAGAACCAGAGCCTTCAAATCCTTAGCTCACTGTAGCTGTGTTTTCCTCAGCCAGATGCTATCATTCTAACAGCCAAACCACTGACTGATGAGGGGGAAGAGGGATGGAGAAAGTAAAACCTTATGGGACACAGGGAGCCTGGCAGAATGGGATGACCAGGTGGAGTGTGGGACATGTAGTCCTTAGCACCCAAACAATCTTTATTTTCAGCCTCTAGGCCTTGCTCTTCAGTCTCTGTGGTGTCTGGCATCAGACCATGGGAGGACCCAGCACTTAATGCTGACTGACCTCTTGACAGGAATGTAAAAATCATTCCTGTAGAATTCTAGAGACATTTTCTTAACTTTTTAAAAGTCATATAAAGGCCCAAACTTATAGAAATGTTGAGAGAATTTCATACCAAACCCTGACATGCCTATCAGAATTGTGTAATTTATTATTGGTTATCTCTCTTTCTCTCTTTTTAAGTTAACCTTTATTTTTAGTTTATAAATGTGGGTCTTTTGACAGCATATATGTCTATATACCATATGGGGCAGTGCCTGTGGAGGCTGGAAGAGTGCATGGGATCCCATGGGGGCTGATATTATAGAAACTTTAGAGAGACCATGTGGATTCTAGGAATCAAACTCAGGTCCTCTGGAAGGGCAACCAGTTCCCTCAACCACTGAGCCATCTGGCCATTCATGGCAAGATCTCTTTTCATCTTAATATTGTTCCCAGTGACTTTTTACAGATGTGGTGCCGATGGCCTGATTTGATTTGACAACAGTGTCAGCAATTCTTCTTGGATGAGTTTGCCTGAGCCTCTAGATTTATAGCAATAACAAATGCCTCTTGGTGCTCATATTTGAACACCACTCAGCCACATTATCCTGTCTGGGTAGCATTCCTTGTCTTTGGCTGGTCTCTGTGCTCCCAATGCTACTCTTTAAACAACCCCCTTGATGCTGTTTTTAATGGCCGGTGCCATCATGTTCGTTGTGGGTTCTCCCCAACTTGCAGAGCAGTCTTTACTTGTCAGAATTGGTTGTGCAATGGTGTCAGCATCGCAGGTTGACGGCTGGTGTGCTGGGAGCTCCTCCAGCCCTGGGCTTCTGCAGGGGAGCAGGAAACACTGACTCTCTGGAGACATGATTACTGGAGGTCAGTTAAGACAGGTTCCAGCACAGGGACAAGGGCAGTTCAGATGGTGCTGAGTCCTATTTGAGGTCTTCTGTTTGTCATTTGAGACGGAGTCTCACCCTGTAGCCTAGGCTAACCTAGAACTCAGTAGGTCACTCAGGCGAGCTTTGAACTCATTGTAGTCTTCTTGCCTCAGCCTCTCAAGTGCTGGTATTATAGGAGAGAGCAGCTGTGCCAGGCCCCTAAATCCTGCTACTCACAGGGAAGACTCTCCTGGTGATTTAAAGTGAGCCATTCATTCTGACATCAGAGACCACTATCATCATTCAGATACTGCCAACCGTCAACATAATACATACTTCTGGTTTGTTCCATTATTATTTCTGATTGCTTGTCCTGGTCTCTGCCTGGTCTTATGCCTCGGCTACCAGTGGCCAAAATCCTGTAGATGCTGCCCCCAGAGGCTGTGACTGGTGCCAATCCAGCTTGTTCTTCATGAGTTCCCACAGAGTAGAGAGCCTTCCCTTGTCAGATGGTAGGGAATGTTCTAATTTTCATATTCAGCTGAACCTCCGGCTTTCCCCATGTCTACTTCCTGTGCATGCTTAGAGCAGGCCCTTGTGGGAAGCTTGCCTCATTTTGCTTCTCATCCAGCTCTTTTGCCTCTGACACGCTGATCATCCTCCAGGGACCACAGCCACTGTCGCTGTCCTTAGGTATCAGGTGCCCTCTCTGTCGGTGCCCATAGATCATCTCACTTCTCTAGTGCCTCTGTGTGGCCTGCCTGTGTCATTGGTAATTAGTGAGACTAATGTGCCTCTTCATTCCATCATAAGCTCCCTGTGAGAAGGATCTGAATTTTGCTTTGTCCTAGACACTCTGATGACTCCTGTATGTAGTCAGTGCCTCATGAATATGTGAGGCTCCCATTGGATAATAAAGAAAGCTCTTTTGGTCTATGGCAAGAAAACTTATAGCCAGACAGGAAGTCCAAGCAGAGATACAGAGGGAAGAAGGGCAGAGTTGAAGAGATGCCAGCCTGCCACAGAAGGAGCAACAGGATGCCAGCAGACCGGTAACGCCACAGCCACATGGCAACATACAGATTTATAGAAATGAGTTAATTTAAGATGAAAGAGCTAGCTAGCAAGAAGCTGAAGCCACAGGCCATACAGTTTGTAATTAATATAAGCCTCTGAGTAATTATTTTATAAGCAGCTGTATGACTGCGGGTGGGAGAGATTTGTCTGGACTGCTGGGCAAGGCAGGATGGAGAAAATTCTGTCTACACACGTGCATAAACATAATTCAAATAAAAAATATCAACAAAGGAATAGTGCTGATTAGTGACATGTTAGCTGGGTTTATGTTTGATTTCCTTTACTACAATGTGAAGTTCAGTTGTACAGCAGCCGTCAGGTTGGCCACAAAGAGAAGTGTGTATAATCTATACATTCTATACTATATCTGAATGACATTTCTGGGAAAAGGAAGCAACTGTATTCTTGATGCAACTTAGAAGATACTAGTTTTATATGTGATTTAAGACCTTTCACATTTGATTTTATGTGAATTGTGGCATGTACTCTTATGTAATGGAAAAATCTCATTAAGAAGCTACAAGTGCATATGATCTCAAGTTCCTATCTCTACCATAAGCTAAACGACCAAAGAACTGTTTAAAATATATGCTGCAGATAGTGGTCCTCATTCTTATATCTTCTCTATACCCTAAGACTTAACCAGCTTCCTATGCTCAAACTTGGCCAGATGCTTAAACCCTGTGTTACTGAGAGCCTTGGGTCCCTGTTGCTAGAATAGCCATGGTTATAATGTAGGAGAACCACCAGTCATGTTCAGAATCTTTAGTAGAAGAAAACTTTAAAATTACTGCTATACTTCTTGTTAGAAAATAGCTCATAATTATAACCAACACACAGTTTTACTAAGAATGAGCAAAATTATCACTCATCAGAAGCAATTACCCTTACTTTCTTTCTTGTTCTTCTTCTTCTTTTTTTGTTTTTTGAGACAGAGTTTCCATGTGTAGTTTTGGTGCCTGTCCTGGATCTCACTCTGTAGACCACTGTGGCCTCGAACTCACAGAGATCCACTTGGCTCTGCCTCCCAAGTGCTGGGATTAAAGGCATGAGCCACCACTGCCCAGCTTTACTCTTACTTTCTAAACATTTCTGTGATGGTTCATTATCAGATTCCACAAGGACTGATAGATGTGTTCACCCAAGACTTAGGATAAATATGACATTAGTGGTAGATACAGAACATGAAGACCTTTGGCTTTCTTTATTCTTTACTTGCTGAGACATTTGTTTGTTAACTCATCTATTCAGCAAACATTTACTGACCATCCTTTTGTGCTGGACTGTGGGGAAAACATAGTTGAACAAACCAGTGTTTCCTCCTGAATACTAATCTAGATGGAAAGATGGGGCTTAATTCTGAAAAACAATAACCTTAGTCAGAGACACAAGAATATCATAAGGAGTTTTGGGAGACATGTTATCAGAAATGTGTTCTTCGAGCCAGGAAAGAGAAGCTCATGTTTACTGAGTGATAACATTGACCAAAGACTCAGTACCCATGCCAACCCAGTCTTGGGAGGTAGACCCTATGGTGATGGGCTCATATTAAGATTATGTAACTGGAAATCCAAGGAAGGAACAATTACTTGAGAATAAATTGTTGGAGCAATGGGAAGTATTTACTTGAAAAACTAGAAAACTAATGAGTAGGAAGTCTGTCACCATCAAGGACCTAGGGGAGCAAGTACAAGGCTGATGCACAGAACTGTGGGAGACACAGCAGATAGGCTTCTCAAAGACAATTGTAAA